ATTATTATTGCGATTAGGAAAAACACTCTTCTCAATTCTAGCGTGAATTTTAACTAAAACCACATTTACCATTGTTTTTGTTAGTTTCCCGCGAATGCAACTTCAGCATGCCATTGACAAGTTTTACGATTGGTGGCTTTACGCAACCTTCCACGGCAGAAGGCATTCTTTGCCAGAGTGGTAGCGCGGAAAAGGGATTTTCTACAAGATTTCTATGGGTCTCACCAGAACCAGTGTTCAACAAGCTGAATGAACTGGCAACCATTGATGAGATTTTTCTTGGAGATTYGGGTAAAGAAAATTATTTTTTTTGTGCCTCATGCAGTGCTGTCATTTTGACTTTGGTACTAGATTTTTAAATAGACTAAAAGGCGCAACTAGTCTACTAGTATAATAACAAGAATTTATTACATTATTGATGAAAAATTTAATATTCATATTTTGAAAAGGAAGTGAACTATGACTAGGCAAGCAGTTAAAGATAAAAAGAGAATTGGCATCAGCAACTGAACTTTTATGTACTAATTGGTACATATAACCGACTATAAAATGCMAGCTGCGCTCACTAATATCTTCTTATACTTTTGCATTTCACACAGTTTCGCTCCTRGTAAATTTAGTCAACAATGGAAAAAACTACCCTGATTCAAGGAAGGTCTTTGAATTAAAGAAGAGCGAGTGCCCATCCTTTCAAAAGAAATTTGATGAAATCCAAGACAATCTAAAGAGTGTGGCYGGATACGATGACATGATAACGGGTATGAACAACTTTGAATTACACAGCCCATTGGCAATTATCACACTAAAATATCATTTTGAAATACTTGATAAATATGAAAGCGGAACAAAGTACTTGATTAGTCACTTCATTTATGATAAAAATGCAGAGTTTCGACCTAATAGCCATTAAATTGACGAAGACCATGGAATTTTAACTTTACCGTATTTATATTTTATTGTGTGCATCATGAAAATGAGGTATGAATTGCCAGCTATAATACATTTTCTTGCAAAAAAATACATAGTTCTATCTCTTTGAAACATGTCATATTTATTATCATTGATGTGACAAACTCAATACAATTTTTTTTTTTATACTAGCGTCCAAAATTCAAACATCAATTCTTTTTATTTGATCGTTTTAGGGATGATTAGCAAATCGAAAGGACAGATACTGYGAGTCGCAGGCATTTTCACAGTTCTTTYTAATATTACAGAAGAAGAYACAATCCCAAATGAAATAAATGATGTTGCTTTGACAGCAGCTATTGAGTTTGTGTCTTTGTGCTGTGATCATGCCTTTTTCATAGCTTCTCGCTTGTCTTTAAAAGACGAGATAAAAAGCGTTCTAGAGGAAGGGAGACGTGATGACTCAACAGAGCAGGAACAACCAAAGCAAAAAAACCTGAGGGCGCATACTTTGCTTTTGCCTGGAAAGAAATTGCATGTGACGCCATTATTAAAGAAAAAGAAGTGGAGAGGATTGGCCGACAGAGATACCGTTATCAAAACTCTCGAGGATCTTGAAGAGCATGGCATGGGTTCACTACAGTGTGATAAAGGAACAGGGACGCACAAGGTATAAATAATAATGTCATGCAGACTTCTAAAAGTAGTAAATTAACCGAGAATATTAAGTTGAAAATCACTAAACCTCGCCATTTATYTGTAAAGTTAAGTGTTTTGAAATGCTTTTCCTTCATGACTTTTCAAAGGACTATTCTCAAAGCTGGTAAAGTAATTAATTTTAGACCGTGCGTTTTAGAGGTGGCAATGATTTTCCACTTACTTTTAAAATTTCGGTTCGCTTTGTTTTTGTTTTTATTTAGAAATACACATTCATAAAGACTGCAATACCCCTCGATGAAGAAGAAAAGTGCGCTTTCACCATGAAGCTTACAGAAATTGGAGTTTCTTTGAGGCAATACAGTGAATCACTTATGGCTCCAGATATCACAGATGATTCGTAAGTCTTAATATTATCAAATAATGTGTTGATAGCAATTAACCCATGAAATAACTAAGTGTGTGTTACTCTCCTTTTGTTTTGTTTCCATTTTACTTGAACACTCCCCGATTATAGAGAAATAAGGGAATTTCAAAAACTACTGAAATGATTATCTATTTATAATTTCTTTTGTTTTTGGTTTTATAGAAGTGGAAAGAGGCCTATCAGTGAGCCAACAAGATCAAGCCCAAGGAAGTCACCAAGGAAAAATCAATAGACCATATGAAAAAGAGCTTGGCTAACAAATCGCCATAGTTTATAAGTGTTTTTTGTACATTTAAAATTATCGAAACTCTGTTGATATTCAACATTTGAAACTAAGAGTCTGCCAATTTATTTGTTTAGATATTCAGTCTAGTCCATCTTACTGTGAAAACAGACTTTTTAAAAACATGGAAAGTTTATTAGCAGTCTTCTGCTCGTTTTTCATATGGTCAATAATTCTGCGTRCTAGCAGCCAGTTTAACTGATACCATTKTAGGTAGCCAACTTGAGAAATCGCTGTTCGTGATTAGAGTCATTTTCATCCGTCTGTGAAACATTTAMTACTAGTCAGTGTTTAATAATACCTAGTAGGCTACCAAAAGGCAAAATCAAAACGGTGTGACTATTGTTGTGGCATGTCATAAGTTAAAGTATTGGGAGCTAATAGGGGGTAAATAGGGGGGTATTTAATAGTACAATTACTATTTCACAGAGGGATAAGAATGACTCTATGCATTATTCAATGAGTACCTTGCTTTCTTTGTTTTGAATACAAATTCATTGTTTGAATTGTGTAAGGCGTCAATTCAATGCTTATCAAATGAAAACGAGTCAGTACACTTATCTCCCAGCAATAATGTACAAGATAAAAGCCGCCAGTGTCTCTTATACCACATTTTCGCTTCAGTTGACTTTTAAAAGATTCAAAGCTTAAAAGATTTGATAATCAAGCAAGGGATAGTTGATATATAGCTATAATCATATTCGGCCATCAATCACAGTACATTATCATATTCAAAACGTGAAATATAAACTAGTTGAAATAACACATGTTCCTTGGTATCTCTATGCATTGAGAAGTATGATATTAAATAAAAGTTGTATTAAAAACTTACTGAATGACAGGGTTATGCACTTGTTGGTCATTTGTGAATTTATTATGATATACGGTATATTATAGGACCATGTTGGCGTTCGAMTTTGTGGTTATAATGATTTAGGTGATTTTTTGACACGGTTTCCCTATGTTTCCTTGAGATTTAGTCACTGTTTTTATGCCTGTTTTAATGCCCTCTCATATAGAATTGACACATGCAAACAACACAGCATGTGACAAACGACCRACCGGATTGTCAAAAACTATATTGGCAGGAGGTATACGCAATCTAAAAGTATCTTAGTTATCATGTTTTGATCCATTTATTTCACTGGTTCCTTTGTCTATTTCGTAAAGCATAACTTAATATAATACATTTCAACTTGTTCAGATAAAAGCTATCAATCAGCAACTCGCATTAAATTGCATAGAAATTAATATTAGTATTAACATGATTTGACTTTGCCAACTGACAATATCCGACGTCGTTACAATTGCGTGACACACTGAATTGAAAAACGTCATATTATAAAACTCTTCTTGCCTTAAATACACATCAGCTACACATACTAGTTGAACGAAACTAGCGTAGTTTTATTACCGCTAGTATATATGAGATTCTGACATCAGATTCTTAGATGTT